AAATAAGAACCCTTAGGTCTCATCTTACACACCAAGATTGAAGAGAATCATATCCTGTTACACCAACAAGCAGCCTAGAAAGACAAGCCATCCACCACCACGTCCACACATGCTCTCCCGCATCCACCCGCCCGCAAAAGCATTTAAGGACTTTGGTGACGAATAAGAGAAAAAGGAGACCAAGAAGAACGAAAGGCCGCAAGACCCTGGATCAGCACATAGCACACAACAGGGTCGGCAAACAAGATCCGCTCGAGACACGTCCAGCATTCTGCAGTCAGCAATCCGCCGTATCAACAGCGGGAAGCAGCAACAAATAAGCCGTACTTTACACAAGCAGCGACCGGCTTGCAAATCAAATCCCAATCCCTATCCCTATCCCTATCCTCGCCGTCCAGTTCTCTGAACTCCGCAGCGGACTTTACCTTGTCGCGGCTAGCTCTTGGGACCAGAAAGAAAAAAAGGCTGCTAGCGCGCTGCTACTACCAGCTACATCCCACAACTTGGCTACGTACCGGACGTACTTTTGATACACGACGGTCGCCAGTTGACCACACACACTCTCCAAATTGAGCACAAAACGGAACCAGGATCCTTCTTGAGGCCGTCTCATTTTCATAACTACTGGGCCCGCCCGCGCACTCGGACATAAAGACGTCGCCGACCGTTAATGCCACCCGCAGCAGACCAGGCCAGCGAACCCACACCCACGCCCACGCCTACACCACCACCTACCTATTCGTAAGGTACCTACCTGGTCCTACGAATACCTAACGCACCGCATCCGCACTCGCTCCAGCTCCAGTTCCAGCTCCAGCTCCTCCAGCAGCAGACTCTCCCCGACAGAACTCCCCTAGTCTGCCCTGTCTGCCCTCCACTGTACCCGTCGTACCGCCGTACTTGCATCGTAAAAGGTACGGGGCAAAGTACCGCACCAAAGCAACCAGCATCAGCACCAAGCACCCGCAACGCACACACCCACCCCCCCTGCCTGTCCTCTCCTCTCCTCTCTCTCCTCAACCTCCACTGCTTGCTTGCTCTGCCCTCCTTAGCATTGCGAGCGACCGAACTCTATCAACCCCAAAAGCTTCCGAGGCCTTTTCCCTGCGCATCACATAATCTCGCGCGCGCACATTAGACGCACCCCGTCTACTCCCCGTCGTCTCCCCGTTGTTGCTCGACATTAATAATTTGTCTACGCCCTCCATCCCAGTACCTTGCCGTGCTTACTGTCCCGCCCTCTTGACCCTAGCGCCGCGGACTCTTGGCTGTGTCATCCCGACTCTTTTACCTTTTTGGTTTATTCTTCCTTTGACTGGGTCGACTTCGTTCTCGCTATCCTATATAGTTCACTTACACGCCTCTCACCTCCCTCACCCACAGACTTATACGCACTTTGCCCCTCGGTCTACATCAACAACATCTTCCTCTTCCACACATCGCCACACCTTATCCTTCCTTCCTACTACTACTGCAACAACAACAACTACTACTACATACTACCCCATTAACTAGTAATCATTCACCACCACAATGGGAAGCGGCCTACCCACACCTCCCTTGGAGGACCAAAAACCCAGAAAGAGCTCCTCCAGCTCCAAGTCTATCAAGCCCAACCGCCATACTGCCAAGCGCGCCAGCCCTCACAACGCGACACAACATCACGATCATAGCTCTCAAGCTATGTCTGCCGATGGACGTCACAAGAGGGTATGGAAGGCTTGCGAAAGGTGTCGTATGAAGAAGACCAAGGTAAGCACCACCACCACACTCAACCTCATGGTCACTCCCATCCTGACTTGGACTCCACTTAGTGCGACGGCGAATTCCCCTGCAAAAGGTGTAAGGACGATGGTCTCGTTTGCACCGCCGGCGTTCGCAAGAAGACGGAATACAAGCAGCTGCCCAGAGGCTACGCCGAAGTTCTCGAGCACACCCAATTCGCCCTCATTGCCACCGTCCATAAGTTGTACTCCATGGTTAGGAACCAACAACAATGGGACCTCGGCGAACCCGAGCTCAACGATAGAGGACAGCCTGTCATCCACAACATTGCCCAGAAGCTTGGATGCATCCGCCCGAACAGCGATATCGACTTGCCAGTTCACTCGGTGTTCCCTGAGGACGAGGCGGGCTTGGCCGAGTTGGCGCGCCAACTGGAGGAACAGCAAAAGGAACGCGATGTTGAGAAGGCCATGAAGGTCGAGGTCGATTCTAACTCAAGTTGCGAGCGTTCAGACCGGGCAAGCTCTTCCGACATTGATCACTCGGAATTCGAGGCGGACTACCGCAAAGCTGTCTTTGGCGGCCACAACAACCCCATGACCATGTCTCCGCAAAGCTTCTCTACCGGATACACTGAGTTCGACGTAGACTCAGTTGCCTCGCCCATCGATCCCACCGCCGCCATGTTTCAGCAAAATCAGTCCCCGCCCATGAACGCTTACCAACAATGGAATATGCCCAGACAATCAGCACCCTCTTCAATGGATCTCGCTCAGCAATTCTTCCAACATCCCGGCGCTCTCACCAACATGGATATGCTTAACCAAGGCCTGATCGAGTCAGAATTCGGCACCATCAAGCCCCACGTTCTTAACTGTCCGAATCCGGAAGTCATGATGGGAATGGGCGACCCGATGATCTACGGGGGCTATGACGGCGAGCCAATGCGACTGTAACCCCATCATTCCAGCCACTGAGCATTTCGAGTACGGATTATGAGTTATAGAGTTGGGGCTTTCGGTCGGGCTACGGCCATCAGGCGCACAGAAGACATTGGGGTCATGGGATTTTGCGAATTTATGGGGTTTTCAATGATACACCGCGAAGGCGTTGCTTTTTCTGGGAAAGGACCCTCCCCACATCTCGCGAGAGAGAGAAAAAGGCGTTTGACGGTTTTTTTTAGGTGGTTTGATTTTATGTTTTGTTTGGTCAAACTCGGATGAGGTTAATCGCCACCGTTCAAGGTATTTGGGGGGCAATAGTGAGCGGGAAACGGCCTTTAGGAAGAAGGATTTATTAGCATTGAGGCGAACGATTTTTCACGTTGCAACGACACCAAAAATCGAAACCATTGTATCAACTTTTTTTCTGAACTCGTGTCTACTCTATTTCTTTTGCTTGTGTGATTTCCTCTGGGATGAGCTTTAGAGAAAAGGTCTATCTTGCCGACCACCCCTCCTTTCAGAGAGTTGGGACGAGGACAAGCTTGCATAAAGCTGAACCATGGGGGGGGGGGGGGGGGGGGGGGGGGGGCCAAAAACCCTCCTTCCCCCCCCAAATAAAAAAAAAAAAAAAACCAAACCACAACAACACCTTCTTTCACACAAAAAAACTTTTTTTTTTTCGTTCCTTCATTCCCTACTCCTTCTCTAATTTCTCATCTCACAACACAAAAATCTCCTTGGTCCTCTCTTCCATCCCCCAATGTAAAAAAAAAACAGATATACACACAATAGCACCATTCTTCGAATCAACAGAACTCTTTTTTTGGCCGTTCTTCGATCGTGCAATCTCTTCCTAATTCGGATCGTAAGACAAACAAGAGTCCGTGAGCTTTCCTTCAAGCTCAGGTCGGCGAATGCCCCAAAACCAAGTTAACTCTGTAACCTCGTCATAAATCATTGTAATTTTTTTATTTTATTTTTTTTGCAGCTAGCTAGTTTTGCCGACTGGCTCCTCCTCCTCCTCCCCTTGCTGTAACCTCCCAGGTTTTGACTTCACGCGTGTAGAACTATGGGAGGGCATGACGCTACAAAAAAAAAAAAAGAGAAAAAAAGACGGTGACAAGAAACTCTGAAAAAGTCTACTTGTCTCTTGTCTCACACTCTACTATGCTGGCACTACACTACCCTGACCTGATCCCCGGATATGGAACGAACTGCTACCAAAAATTACCCTCTCTAGTGTACGCAGTAGGCCGGCCATTGGAATCGGCGACGGCATGCTACGCTACCGTATCAGCGGGCACCCTGCGGCCTTGCCTGCCCTGTGCCCGCTCGGCTTACACACTCTCTCTAGTCTCTAGGTATGCCCGCAGCGCAGCCCAGAGAAGAATCTTGAAAGAGGATCTTGGGTTTTTGTTGCTTACCAGGAGCCAGCTCCGTCGGTCAAGCCAGCGCCCCCCCCCCCCCCCCCCCCCCCCCCCCCCCCCTCACCCCCCCCCCTCCCCCGGGCGTGCCCCCAGAAGAAATCTTTAAAAAGGGTTTTTGGTTTTTTTTTGTCCCCGGGGGCCCCCCCCCCGCGGAACCCCGCCCCCCCCCCCCCCCCCCCAATTTGCCCTGCGAGCATGCCAATTTTGTTGCTCTCAGGGTTACCGACGCTGCGACCGACGCCCCGGAGGGTTTGGAGCGAATGCGACGCTCAGAGTTGCCAAGGGGATGAGCCACGGGGTCTCCACGTCACGACATATAATTCTCTCCAGGGGGGGAAGGTCGGCGGCGGACTAAGGTAAAAGGTCGTTTCTCCTCGCCGCCGCCGAAGGGGACGGGCGAACATCAATGAGACAGTTGCAGGGCCTAAAATTCCGCAGGGAGACAACTGTCAGAAGCCTGTCGCGCTGTTCTAGTCAGTGTCGCATCAGGTAGTAGTAGTCATTGGGAGATGAAGATGGCCTCACCGTACCCATCGGCGACCTTCACAACAAGCTCCTGACACGATTGCGGCCTGCCAAATTCCCAACGCGACGTGATACTTTCTTCAAGCTTCTGGTGGCCCCCACTTGGTGACTTGATCGACCGTACAGCTCAGCAGCCGTGCCAGCATCTCTCATGAGATTTGGGGGCCGAAATGACAGCGATGGTGCAACATGGCATGACTAGACAAAGCTCCCATGTTGCCAAACCTAGACTACCGGCCTCCTTTTTGGTTTACTGCCATGTGAAATGAGCCGCTTGCTGGTCGTATATCGCATCACCACACGCAACGATCAACAGGTTCGAACCGGTGCGGACCAAACGAATCTTCAAAGTCCGCCGAGAAGGCGGGCGAGCAGTCGGTCAGGCGTCGTCACGCCCCTCATCTCTAAGCCACTTGGTAGAGTCTTGGTCAATTCTGGTTCTGGACAAAGGTCCCACTGGAGCATCCGTGATCCTTGTTGGTCGATCAAGGGGTGACAGGGGGAGGGTGTGTGGTTTCGATGGTTCTGCATCTGCGGCGGCGGGCTGGTAAGTGGCAGGGCGCAAAAGCCAACGGTCTGCGCAAAGACGCACCCAACGCACAAACCGCACACCCCCAGATTGTAGTATAGACGAGGAACCAACTCTGGCGGGTAAAGGCTTACTGGTGCAGGTAGGATGAGGATGAAGCAGGGTTGCTCCCACGAGAAAAAAGCAGAGACGAGTGAAAAATAAAAAAAAAACTTTTCCAAAACACACGACGGAAAACCATCTGAATGTGTCCGCCCTACGATATGCTTCGATCCCGAGAGTCCACGCCGCGGCGACCCACAGTGCATGTTCCACTAAACGCGGGAAGCTCAGGGCGCTGTTCATGCGATAATGCTACGTTTGGGAATATCAGGCGGGCTATGGCGCGGGTCGAGGGGTGATTCAGGTTGACCGTTGAGCAGCGTTGCTGTCTATTGCGCATCACATACGGATAGTATACTCCGTACTTGGTGATTGATTACGGAGTATGGCACTTTGCGCGACAGAGAAGGGGGTCGCTAAGTGGTTGGAAATCGAATTATGATCTCGGCGTTTGTGACGGAGGGCGGGACGGGAAGTTGTAAACCCCGCGGTCCGACAGTGGATAACCCATGATGAGTCGATTTTTTTTTATGAAGAACTAGTTCCATCGTCTTTGTTCGGGTCCGAAGATTGAGTGAGGTGGACTTTTGTTTTGCTTCTCTCTTCTGCCCCAGATAAGCCCGGGGGTCATTTTGCTGTCCACGGACATCAAACATGGCCGATGACAATGTCTGAAGGGACTCGGGCAGGTGTTGGCAATGACACCTTGTGAGTTCACGTGTTGGGCTGGGCGGATTGTCAGAGTTGGGTTGACGATGCTGGGGAACCCCTGGTTGCTAGTTTGAGCGTTGCTTTGGCCTTTGGAGTCCAAGGCGCTTTGTCAGCGGGCCGCTTTGGCTTTTGAATGGGCCAGACCTCTCTCTGTCCAGGACGACAGGAAGTCAGCCTGTACGAAAGTTTCTGTTGACTTTCTGTGGTGGACATGATCGGCTGCCGTCAAAGTAGACTGCCCAACATGGGAAGCTTGTACAATGGCTGAGGCCCTGGGCCAGGCCTTGGGTGGGACACGTTGTAAATCTCCTCTCACCTGCACTGAGGAGAGTAGAAAGCAGGAGGTGTTTCCGTACGGATCGGCCCAAAGTGAGGACCAGAAGCCTCTCGGCCGCAGATTTCGGATTTCTCGCATTCGGGTTTCCTCCTCCAGACTTTTCTCCCCTCAGTCTCTGGCAATTCTATTGTCGTGCAGAATAAAAGTGTCTTCATGGTTCGTACGGGACGAGGGTATCCATTGCCTGGCTGAGTCCAGGACTCTAGGCAGTGGGTAAGCTCCGCTGTCAGAAGACAGCCGGAACGCAGTGATGGGGGATGTTGGCTGTTCCAGTGAAATTGTTCCCTCCTATTCTGTCCTTCTCGACTTGTTCTTCTCTTTGCTCCATACGCAAGCAGCCAGTCGGACTGCAACACTATCTCGCCCCGTCCCACTCTGTCCACATTGTCGGGATCGGAGAGAAATGAGTACTTCGTACGGGCTGTTGATGACCAACCGTCAACGTGGTTGGTGGTACCCTGACAAGGGATCCCGTATTTTAGGCAGATGATCGTAAAGGATCGGCCGCTTGTAGTTGAAATTATGAAATGAACGCGGCTTTTGTGCAAGCCTCGGCAGCTCGCGGTGCCGAGCTGGGGGTCCATCGGGCCCTAATGCACATATACGCCGTATCTCCATCGCCGTCATCGCCGCCATGGAGCGGCCGGGGTGTGGAGGGCCGCCGAGGGCTTTCAATTTGCGCAATACCCATCGGTTTGGACCCGTCTAGTTGGGGGTGGGCTTTAGGGTTCGAGGTTAAGAATATGATATTGGGCAGATTTGGGGGCAGAAACAAGGTGAAATTTTCTGCGCCCAGTCCATTGGTATTTTGGAATAAGGCGCGCTTGTTTGGAGAATGCAAAATGGATATGCGTTTGATTGGCGCTTGTCTTGGCTTGCTTGGTATTCTTGGAAACGCAGTCCGCGGGCTCGGAGCGCCGGTGCGTGACGACGGCCGAGTGCCAGAGAGTCGGTGTCCTCTAGGGTCCTTGTCTAATAGCAGCTTGGCATCAAATTCCGTCCGGCGAGGAGCCAAGACTCAGGACACGTCTTTGAATAGGTTGGCATCTGCGAGCGCCCAGTGAGTAGGGAGTACCAACCGTCAATCGGTCAAGACTCAATGGCAGCCATTGACGATGGTGTAGCATCCGTCAAGGTATCCGTAATACCGTATGGTCACTATGGTGTACTCCGTATCCCCCGTAGGAATGAACTCGTAAGGTCCAAATGGTAAAGGGGCTGTGGCGGGTGGTTGCGGGAGTGCACGTGAATTGTGTTCTCCCGGATGGTTTTCTTCACGCGTACATTAACCAAGGAATCAAGGATCTGTCAGGGCCACATTTCGCATTTGGCATTTCGCATCTTGTCTCCACGTCAATTCCGGCGTCGTGTGCATGCGTTGCCGTAGTGCACGCAGTAGTGTAGTCGCTGCCTGGCGGGGTCTCGTGTGTTGATGTTGATAGGTAGGCGATCCGATGGGCTGATGAAGTTCTGAAGTTGTGATGGAGGGTTGATGGTAGGTTGACTTCGCAGGGGCGGATGTTCCTCGGGTCCGAGGAGCTTAGCAAGGAAAGACTGCGCGAGGTTGCGCTGGGTGCAGTCTGTACGTACTATTCCGTACTGAGTACAGTATGTACTCTGCAGCCTGCCTGCAGGTGGGATCATGGAGGAGGTGCTTTGGTCCTATTCCTCTCCCTACCTTCGCTCCTACTCATGGTCGTAAGCTCATATTCCTCCGTCGATCCTCCCGGGGTTCAGCTGCTGGTTTCGCCCGCAAAGGGACACAGGACCCTGGAACAGCTGGCTCGCTCTTGACCCATGGTGGTAGTGTACACCGTAAGAGTGTGCGCGTATTCCCGCATTAGTATCCGGAGGTTGGAGGAGCAGAGAGCCATCCTGCACGCCTCGTACTTTCCGAAACCGTCCAGCGCATATACCTGATGTTGGCAGGTACACAGTAGACCACAGGCAGTACTCACGCATGGGAACTTTGGAGTTGCATCCAGAGAGACGGGTTTGGACTACGGAGTATGGGAGCTTGAAATGCACAGAACGCAGCAAAGGTCCATGATTGGCCCGGACAGGTCCACTTCAGAACGACTTCCAAGGTACGTCTCTTTTCCCCACCATTTGCTATAAGGAGTATTCATCCAGAGTAGCTACTATGTACTGCACTCACCTCCAACAACTGACTCCTGCCAACCACGTTCACAGCCCTTTTCCTACGGCTTCTTCGACCAAGATTGCCTGCATACGTCGTACTTCGTACTTTTGCTCTCCTCTCTTTAGGCGCCAAGGCCCTGCCCTGGGCAATTAGGTTCAGTTGGCTGAAAAGTGGCTGAGCTGTGGCCCTATCCGCTTCCCCGCAACTCAACACGCGTATTGGCGTATCTGCCCATGCCTGTTCTGCTCTAGGAAACTTGGGAACGCCTCACCTATCTCGCATTCCTCGCATAGACCTCACCTGTCCTCGTTTTCGCTTTCGTGGTGCGACTGACCGTGGTCTTTCTACGAATCTGCGACCGATGCCATCGCTGTCAATCTCAGGCTATCAGCAAAGCCATGCCGAGCAGCCGTTCTCACCAACCATTGCACGATGCGAAGTTTACGAAAATTGTCGAGGGGCACTTCTGCCAGCCAAGGCACGAATTCACTGCTTGTAGATTGCAGGCTATCATATTGTGGCTCTAGGTACTCAGGTTGGCACCCCCAGAAAACCAGCCCCAAGCAATACCTACTAGCTGGGCGAGCATGTTTTAACCTTGATTAGCTATTGTCGAATCAAGAGCTCCTCGCCAACTCCATTTAAACGTCTTGGCCGACCATTTGCCCCCAAATCGGGTGGCCGTGTCTCTCTTGGCGCTCTGCACACGCCGTATTGGCATCTCGTCATTCACCATAACGCTGAGAGCAGACATCGTTATGTTTTTCCCTGTCAAACCACACCACGACCACCATGTCATGCCAACCTCTGAACTCCGCCCTAAGCCTTGTATTCGTACCTGGAGGGGGTCTGTGAAATTGCACCGCTTTTGCGGCCTTGGGGGTGGTCTAGGCCTATGCCAATGTTGTTGGCGCAGCAATCTGGATTGAACAAGATATGTTGATACCTGAGTCGACTTCGAGTGACTTTACCCAAGTCTCCTCAAGTCTCTTCATGTTACTCCCCAGAATGGCACCTGTCCGCCATGGAAGAAAACCCCGTCGTGGATCTCCCCAAGGCTTAGCGCGATGGGCTCTGTTAGGTGTCACTACGCCAAGCGCGGTAGCGGAACGATGTCGACGAACTAACATCTGAAAGGTGCCTTCCTCAAAGGACCACCAATCGGTTTCATCTTTGAATCCCCCTTCACCTGACCATCAGATGACGGCCACAAAAAGCATCGCGCAATGCTCTGGACTGCGGAAAACTTTACGGCCCTGCCGTCCTCATATCAAACCCCACGGAAACCTTAACGCGGACGTTGCGATTATCGCAATATCGGGCTCCAGGCGGCCTATACACGCAAGACGCTGCCGACAAATGTATCCCATTTAGAGGTAAACCCAGTCTCAATAAGTGTGTCACCGGTGGTTATCTAATAACTGTCATTGTAACAGGGGCTTTCATTCCAAATATTGCCTGATATTGCCAAATCCGAGGCGCCACAGTCAGTCTGACGGACGAGAATGTTCCCCGTCTCGCATGGAAGTTGAGTCAGGTGGCGTTTTAAGGCCAAAAGTTCTGCCCACTCACCATCTCATAAGACACGACAATTTCTCGAATTGCAGTATTGGATGCTTGCAATTGCCTGCTTTTGGATTGGCATCGAACAGTCCTACGCTGGATACTGGGAGATCGGCATCGCGATGTGTCACTGCCCTCAGTGATCAGTCATTGGCAGACCCGTGGCGTGCTAACAGACAAAGTCTCCGCACACTTGCAAGGCCGTGGTCACAGAGACTCCAAAAGGCCCGACGTCGCGTTGGCAAACTCAATGCCAGTCGTTTGGGTCACGCTAAGCAACGATTACTTCTCGTCATCAGCACCTTAATCACCTTTGTAGAGTTGCAATTTGCCCAAAAATAACGTTCGTTGTTGATGGACAGGGTGGAGGGGCGCCGATTGAATGGCGAAGCCTGTCAGCTTACCAGCAGCAGGCAGTGAAATGAGGCTAATGCAGATCTTCTGCCCAAGTTTCAATAACAGGTGTACAGAGATTACCCGCCGGACGGAAGACGCGATTACTCGGCCTATGGTATCCGTGCTGCCGTCCAGTCACCGGCCACAAAACTCTCCATCTTGACCAGAGGAATAAGCCAAACAGAGATTGGGGCTCGTTCAATCCCACGTCAGCAGCAGATATGCCTCCTGAACACAAGGCCACAAGTTTGATAAGAATACCGGCTTGATGGCGGCATCGTCTCTTCAACCTCAGTCTCATAGGCTGTTTGACATCCCAATCTACGCAGGTGATGGCGCTCGTCAACGCCCGCAGCTTGTGTCGTGCGTGTCACCAGGTTGGAGATTGATCACAGTGGGGAGGCCATGGCCTAGCCACAATGACTTGGAGTGAGCAACGACTTCCTAGAGTCAAATATCATCTTCTACCAACGCGGAACATCGCTGGATCTGGAGGGGAAGTGGGCTAATTACTGGTTCACCCTATGCCAAACTCGGAGAAAGCTTATTGACTCGAATACAGGCCTTTCAATATGTCGACAATCTCACCTTTCAAGAGAGGAAACCTAAAATTCAGACGAAGTTGGGGGCTACGCCTACAGTCCGCCTATCTAGCATTGAAGATCGAGCATCGGACCTGCCTCCGTAAAGGGAAGTGGGCGGGCGGGCGGGAGCGGTGACTGGGACTCGAAAAGGAGTTCAGTACGTTTAGAAAAGTCTATTCACGATGTTGGGGATTCGGCGCGCGCGAGTCGCGGTTCATCCTTTCTTGGCACGGCAAAACAGAAGTGCGAAAAATTGGCCACCCCGGTCACAACGAAATAGTCGGCGCACCGCCGTCTCCGTCTCCATGGTACAGCGCGCGTCAAAAAAGGGGTGACGGGGTGGAAGAAATAAGGTTAAGCGGCAGCGATTGGGGATGCGACGTCGTTCACAGGGATATATGCTGGTACCAAGCGCGAGGCTTTTTGGTAAGCGTTCATTTGCGTTTGGATGTGGTTTATTCACATGGACCACGGCAGGGAATGGGTCTTTGGCCGCTTACATGGTTTCACGGCCTTCATCTTGTCCTATCCCCGGCCCGCGGGCTTGGCCGGGGTCCGGGGTGCGGACAGTAGGGTTTGGATTCTACTCCGCTTTTCCTCCGCGATTGGGCGCGGAGCTTCGGTTTCGGGCGTATATCCGAAAGCCAAAGGGTCACTTAATCATCAAGGTAGCACCGTACCAAGGCAAAGAGGGTAGGACGACGCGCAGGAAGGTCCATCGCGGTGGAATTGTTGCTTGGGCTGGTGACATTGGCGCTGGGCGGAAGTTTGGCGGAGGTCTCACGCGCGGCGTGGAGTCTGTGAAGTTATTCCGAATCTCAAGGAAAAGTCGCCGAGTGGTGGTTTATTCTTGCGTGGTAAGCATAAGGTGGACTACACCATTCGTCCGAGCGATGGACGACTAACCGACGCCGATGCAATCGTTGCAGAACGCGGATTTGTCATCTCACCGTCGCCGATGTGGACGATTACCACGGATTTTTCCCCTCAACAGTAACACACGGGGGCTCCCTGCAAAGCCCGATGGAGCTACGGTCTTCTGACGTGATCGAGTTCGTCGTACCTTACGGTCTCTGTCTAACTTGGCACTCGGGGTCTGACAGAGGAAAGCTTGATAACGAAGGGGAGAAGTTGGGATGATTGACCGGTTCCCTCTTCTTCCTTTGGAATCCCGCTCCGGCGGCTACGCCCGTTGGATCAACGGGATCCCCTTCTCGGAGGACCATGAAGTCAAGAACCCACAAAGCACGGGGCAATTCTTGGGTAATCCCCTCTTCTTTCCCGTCGCCTGCGTAAGAGGTGCCGTTATGCCGGGTCATTACTCTTTTGGGCCTGGAACTCTCCATGAAAACCGAGGGCGTGGAACTGGTATCCTGGCGCGGGATGGCGACTCTTTTGCATGGTGAGCTTTTTCTGTGGTGAAGGGCAAGGTGAGTGAGCAATGGATTACACCGCCCCCTCGTTCCCCCACACAACCCTTACGGGCTTATCATACGGGGGACCATCTTGTGTCTACTCTCACACACCACTTACCCCATATGCCGGAGAAGACCCTGAGTTTCTCAGAGTGAGACGGTGAGGGCTAGGTCGGGTGCTGCATCGCTCGCTTTCTTGGTCTTTACGGCGTTGAACCCCTTTTGTGGATTAGACCCGGATGCTGTTGCGAGGCTTCCGAACAGACTCTTGGGCACGTTCTAGCTTGTCTTGAGCTGAAGAGGCCTTTCAGCCTGACCGAGGTGCGGTTGGTGGTATGGTACGAATGGCTGGCTGGAACAGCGAGTGCGGCGCGGCCATGTCCGTTCTCGGTTTCGGTAAATGCCAAACCAACAACGTTGGTCATTTTTCTGCCCCTTCGCCCTTCCCCCCTCTCTCTATATCCCTCACCTTGAAGACGTTCTTGTCACTGTACTTGCGATCTACATCCTCATCATAATCTGATGGTTTGATGATCTGATGCCATGGTGCAGTCGTTTGCTTTGATGGCGGTGAAGCGAGGTGACAGTGACGGGCTCCTGGGCCCTACGAGGATAGAATGGAGGGAAGGGGACCCCCCTCCTTCGGGACTTCCAGAGAGCCAGCCAGGACGATCTGCCTTGCCTCTTGCCCCCCTCCCCTCATTTTACCCCTCAATGGCAGGGTGGTCTTTCTTATGGGGTCCTTTGAGCTTGTTTTTGGAGATAGCTGCTAGCTATACTCCGTACTCCGTAGTCTTGGTTCGGTTCATCGGGTGGTTGGGATTAGGTTTTTGTCTGGCTCGGGTCTGTGGCACCACTGTCGTTGTCACCGTCACTGTCAGTCTTGTCAGGTGGGTGGTAAGAGTAGTTGGTTCCTCTTCTTTGACTCTGCATTTCTCTGTTGGCGTGTCTGTGGATACGCTTAGGCTAGACGGGCCGGTTAGGGGGACCGGACTAGACCGGGGCTTCTACTTGGTTCATGACTGGGCTGTTAGAAAACGGTGATGGTAAACGTGACGGAAGTTGGGAGTTTACGGAGCTCGTTGACTTGACGTATTCTTGTTGACGATGTATAGAAGACGTTTGGGGGATGAGATGGCGGTCACGTTGGTGAAACCACGCGATGAAGAGGGATCACCTGAGTGGACGGGTCTAGAATCATACCGAGACCCTCGGATTTCTCTAGTAGCTATGCTGACTTGTTCAGACATCTGTGGATGGTCTTGACTACGACTATTGATCCTCATCATGCTGGTTGATTGACTTACACGCCCAGACATGCTTAAACGTCTCCTATAGACCTTTAGCTTACAAAGATCATGTGGTATGAACTCGAGGAATATGCGGTCAGGCCTCTCACACTTTGCTGAAGGAGCTATTATGGTGGTATGCTAGACGTGTTTCCGATACTCATAACCTGTGCAGTCGAAAGCTTGGGCCGACTCTAGCTCCTCAACTATCGTAATCGAGACCTAGTTGAACGCACAAAGGATCTCATTGTCGAGCACGTCGTCCTTTCGCTATGGTCTGCCGCGAGGCTTGTACCTGGTTGACTCTTGTCTTACATTCGCGACGACTCGTGTGCTTGTATCTCTAGGGCGTGGTCTCCCGCTTCGTAGCTATGGCTTTGCTTAGTACCTCTCTGTAGTGTGTTGATAGGAAGAAACACTTTTGCTAAATGTGGATGAATGACTGTCCAAGTTTGTAGTTGCGAGTAAGTCCCTAGCCGCAGTTCGATGTATGCATGCTCTGATGCCATGCATCTGTGATCTGACGTGTCTTTCTCCCGTCGACAAGAGCTGAAGCGCCTTTCTGGAGAGACTTGAGGCTCTGATGGAACCAACGGCTCGCAAAGTTAGCTTGTACGTGCCTATACGGCTTTGCTGTGTCACCGAAATAGGTCAGATCAGGCTGGTATCTTTGTTTGTGAGCGCATTCGATGCATGGACTGACGTTGGGCTTTGCTGGTAGGAAACCAATGTTGAAACTTGAGAGATCTGTCTCTTTTTTTTTTTTTTGTCTGTTTTATACCAACTCAGAGTATCTAAAGTACTGAAGGTGTATTGATGAAACAGAAAGATGCCTGCCTTGGTAGGTTAGAGACCCTTGTTCAGCTACTCGTGGGGACTTTCAAATCAAGTCTCGCTCCCGATGACAACGTTTGCTCAACAAATCCAATTCATATCATTCGCAAAGCGAACTTTTTGAAGAAGAATCCGTACGCATGGGCATGAGGCAAGCGAGAGGTATCCATCAAAATTCCAGTGAGCCTCACATAGACGAAACAAGACTTCCTTCTTTTAGTCGATGATGCCGCCAGGTCCGGTGCACCAAGTAGACTTCTGGTATCTTACCAGCGATGTAAGTCATGGTATTTCTCAGTCCTTATACTGGAGACCACTACGTGACTAACTGACTGTATGTTTCCCCAGGACCGGAGACGCACTTCCAACCAACGATTCTGCCACCTCCTACCCGCCGAGTATCAGTATTAGAACCACAAGTGAGAGATCAGGCTCGTAGAATGTAATGATGTTTCATGATGTTTTGATTGAAAGAGCTAGGAGGATATAGGTATAGGCGGTTATCAGGTGAATAGCGCGTCCCATAAATGAATTACAGGCGTGAGGTTCAGGACGTAAACCACCGTCAGCCTGATCCTCAAAGGCTTGTGAAAGACTGCGTCACCGTCCGCTCCTCATCAAATCAAACATTTTATTGAACCCTCCTATATGTAAGATCATCATATGAAGGTTGTGTGTGTGTACGTGTAGGTGTGGAGCAGAGTATCACCGTTGCGGTGTCCGCGACAGTTCAGTGGGGGATCCTGCACCTCGGATAACCACAGCCGGGTGACGACAAGCGATACGACATGATTTCAATTCATGGCCTTTCAATATGCTGGGTCGCAAGTAGTTCTGAGTCAAAGCGGCTACTCCTTTCCTCATATGACGACAACGATACACGGCGTGCGCGGAATAATCCACCGACCTCGAAGGCCTACCCTACCGCATGTCGACCGTGGAGAATCGAGTTTTGTTCATCTCGATGATGTTACTTGGGTGATACGAGTTTTGTTTTTCAACCTTTCCGTATTCATGCAATGCGGTCGAGTTAGATCGAACTTCTCACTAGCCGGATACACCTTGTTCTTGTTTTGATATTTACAGTGACTGTTTCTCGACTCGACAAGGTCAAGGAGCATCATAACATCTCTCTAGCGCGATGACCGTCAGCTGGTGCCGGAAGGTTGCAAAGACTGGGCTATTGACGATCTTTGAGTCACAATGAATCAATATTGGTATTGAATAAAGCTGAGCTAGTCGACTTAACTTACACGACTGCCACTCGCATCTTACTGGTTTGCCGTGCGTCTCCTGTCGTCAGGGCACCACCAACCTCTTCCCCACTAGGCCCGTCGCCAATGACATGAATGACTCCCTCTGCCCACAATGGCTCGAAAGAGTGGGAATGTCAGGGGCATGGATGGAGGGAAGAAAGATGGCTGGTGTGTATGTTTCTCAGATGTCTGAATGACCTTGAGTAGTAAATCTCAGCTCCACTAGCTTGGAAATTACATGGCCTATGGGCGATTCGGAAGACAACAAACGTGCTGCTTTCCTGCAGAGAAACATCGCATACGTATATATCGTCTTCTGGCTTGATGAAATCTGTGCCTGAGACTCCTATTTTTTCTGTAGGTGATCATCATTGGGCGGGTGCGAAAGCAGCCTCTCACCATTCCACGAGGTATTACCTCAAATCAATCATGAAGCAATCGATGTACGCAAGTTCATTCGAAAAGAATGACCGATATCGCCAGAAATACCCTTGCTGTCGCATACTTGTAAATCATGGGCATTTAGATGGATTTCATCGAGTGAAAAGTAGACATCGGCGTGTTGAGAAAATTGGGCAAGGTAGGTAGGGAACATCAGACTCCAAGAAGCCAAAGAACACTCATATCTGTACACGTCAAAGTAAAATAATACAAAAATGAAATTCCAACCCAAATGACAAAAGAGTTCACCCCCCCGGTATCGAACGGGGGCTACATCTCTTGGTGCACATGCCGGGAAAATCCGCCGATATCCAATGGAGGTCCAGGTGGGTAGGTTGTCGATCGTGTACGTATTCGTATGCGCTTGCGGGATTCGAACTTGGGCGGTTCATCGTTTGCGACCATGGCGACCCCAGACACAGTTTGTCCTGACCACATCGCGCCGGATGGGACGCCTTCTGTTTGCTGGTGACGGTATGAACAAAATTGTTCCCCAAGTAGGGTCGCTCATTTTCCGTCTGGTCGTGCCTCAGGTGGCTTGAGGAGGGTGAAGGAGGACCTCCGGGTTGTGAGGTGGTTTGTGGGATGGAAGGTGGAGGGCGGAAGGTACGTGGCTGCGCTCCTTCCTGAGGCGTCACGTCGGTGATTGTTGATGTTTATCCCCACAGCA